GTTTCTGTCCTTTGTAATCTATTTAACACCCTCATAACAATCAGAACAGTACAGGTTATACCCACCTTTATAATGAATCAAATAAAAATTCCCTTAAAAACTGTTCTGTGACTTCCAGATGTTGGGGTGCTTGCTCACAGAACATGGATTTTGCCATGCATCTTCAATTTACTGTGTATCAGTTAGTCCCTTCAAACTGTGGCTCAGTTTAAGAACTAAGGGAATGTAGTGAATTGTATTAACAGTGGTCTAAACAAGGCCCCAAACCAACCCACACACCACCAAGCCTTTAATTTCTCACGACTTAATTTCTCACACTTAAACAAAGATATGTTAACAACTGTTCTTGAACATAAAGACATGTAAGCAAAAGGCATGAAAGGAATTGGTGAGACACCTAACTAAGCATAAAGGAAAAGCACACATCTGAGTCCTACAGCTCCCAGTGCACATGGCTGTGAGTCCCCTCTGTCCTGCTGGGATGCTGCAGGCAGCACCTGTGGCTGCCGCCACTCTCATACCCCCAAGCATCATGGGCATGTAAAGGTGCAGCCTCCATAGCATGGCATTACTTACATTCCTGATTAAAAAAACAGTCTGTTACAAGAGTCAGCTTCCATCAGCAACTCACTTCAGCACTAGGTAGGTTGCTGAGGACATGTGGAGACATATTAACCAGAGAAAAAATGACTGCCCTGTGGCATAAATTGGGTTTGTCCGAGAAAAAGGTCTGTGCAAAAAGCATCAAGATCATTACCACCAAAGGAATGACACCAGGTTATGAACACTTTTGAATTGTTCTGACAAGAGAGTGAATATTTAATTAAGCAAGGTAATTTCTCAAGGCACAGTAGAGATAAGGTAGTACACAAAAATCTTATTTAGTGTAAGCACAAGCCAAGCCTGAACTAGACAGATGAACAAGTTGTTCAGAGGTTGAGCAGGGAAGAAAGTCCTCTGATTTGCTGGTTACTAGGAAAATCTGCTCATAGATGAGCTGTTTTAAACCGATCTTGCCATTAAAGCCTGACTAAATCATCAGCTCACTTTTGAAATGAAGAAACCTTCTCTGTTTTGGTCCAGAAGATGATCAGAGCTGCAAAGGAATTTGTCTGCTAAGATTTTGCAGTATTTGATGACTTTTTTCATAGGTCACTCTGAAGTAATGCATCCTGTTTATTTCCATGGAAAGTACAACAGATGCAAAGAGCACAATAACACTATTTGATAAAGCAAGTTCTCAGCTACAAAACCAAAACCTATCCGCTGATAATTCTATGAGGATGGAAACTATGCCAAAAATCAAATGGAAAAGATAATGACAGTGAATTTCTGCCACTTCTGGAAGAGGAGCTGAAGTTTTCGCTGCACTCACAGCTGCGTCTGGAGTGCAAAGAATGCTGCCAGTCATCCTGCAGGGCTGTCAGCACCAGAACCAACACACGCTGAGGCTGATGGCAGAACTGAGATATTCCAGATTTAGATAAAGAGTTAAAATCAGAGCAGACAGCAAGTACTACAGATACCTGCACATTTATAAACAAGTGCAAAAAAATGCATGTCTATCACCTACTGCTAACAGCCTCTGCATGGCAGGTACTTGGCTTTCAAGAATCAGCCGGCTGAAAATGTCAGCAAATGCTCTACCTGACAAGCCGTCTCCTAACTGAGAAATCTGGTTAGAGGACATCTCCTTGTGATAGGGAATATGTCAGCTCAGAACAAACCCATGCTTAGCTGGAAACTGCCAGCGCTGGCAGATCTGATGGCCTTCCTTCCTGGGGACACAGAAGGAGAGAAAGATGGGGAAAAGTCAGACAGGCTGGCTAGCGAGCGTGAGGCTGAACTACAGATCAGTGCTCAGCATCGCTGTGTTACCAACTTGCATGGATGCACAAAGCAGGACAAGGACTTTTGTTCAGAAATACCATCACATATCCTCAGAGACTATCCTTCACAAACTGTGCTGATATTGCACTGAATGAAGTTTTAGCCAAAAAAAGAGGATGTTTGGAGAAAACCCAAGGATGATTACTGCTTTCAGAATAACAAGCTTTCATCTCAGAGACATTCTGCATTGATAAGTTTGAGCCAAATCTTCTCTTTAGTCACAACCATGAGCTGAAACTTTGGTGGTTTTTCTTTTTTAATTATTTGTTTTTGTTTTGTTTTTGTTTTAAATTTCTGTGCAGCAGGAATGGTGGCTTCAGAAAACTAAGCTGTACCCAACAAATGGTGGGATGGAGGTGTCTGATACTGTTGTAGTTGCTACAAGACAAAACAGCAAGAAAAACATCAAAAATAACAAGAAATGGACCATTTGTGTTCAGTCATAACAACAAGTTACTAATGAAACTTCTGTCACCAGCAAAATACAACTCCTTTAAAATCTTTAAACAGGTGGAAGGAAGTGTAAGATAAGCAAAGTATCCTGTCCCTATACAGTCAGAAGTTTAAATCAATTGACATTTTTAATGATTAAACTTTCTCTCAGTCTCTGAGTAATAACAGCTATGAGAAGTAGTGCTATCTGTGCATGTTCATCCTTGTTTCAGCTCTCCTGACTCCCATGGATTACTGAGTAAGAGGTATTTGCCTATTAAGATAAGCTAAATGTATGTAAGTATGATTGTTTCATAACAATCTAAAACATGAAAAAACCTGGTTTTCATCTGCAGATGAGGCATGCTCTGATCCACTACACGTGCTCTAATTATCCATTTACAATTATAATTACAGGGATTGTCTCAAGCTGCCAGTCACTTGCCTTCAACATTCTTAGTAGTGAACTATTTACATTCCACCCATCTAACAACAATGTATTTGAAACAAGCTGCATCTGAAAAGTTTTCATCTTTAAGGTGCCTGAAGCAGCATATCCAGAATATCAGAATAGTTTTATGAGCTTTAGTGTAATGCTGATTTAGGACCTAGAGGCCTTCAGTAAAGTTTTTCTGGGGGCTCTTTACATACTGCAGATCAGTAGATACCCTGAATAGCACAAATGGCACCACTCCAATTCTTGGCCTTTGGTTGGTACAGGTATTTTGAAGATAAATCCCAATTTCAGTAAGCTAGCAGCTGGCTGTTCTGTACACAAGGAAGCCTATAAAAGCTGTGCTCTGCTGATGTGAACTGAAAGCAGGTATCCACTGAAATGGATCTCCCTCTTAATCTCCTATACATACCATTAAGTTTCATGCAAGGTATGAAAAGCAAACAAAAATAAAACGTACAATAAAATGTTCTTATTTACTACAGGAGAAACTAAGATATGGAGAAGCATAGTCCAGCAATGAGGGAAAGATGCTGTATAGTCTGTCCTCATTTAAACCAGCCTGATCTTGCACCAATACAAATGAAGACAGGATTGCTCAAGGGAATCTGCAACACAACTGAAAAGTAATGTTTTTCTTCACATTCCTTCCTCTCTCTTTTCACAAATGTGAAGACTATTCAGTGCAAGTTTTAAAAATGTTTGATATTTCTCTCTTAAGGTTCAAATAAACTCAAATCAAACTCTAGTGACAACAGTTAAAACAGACAGAAATCAACACTTAACACATTTGAACACATTTAAACACATCTGAAAGGAAAATGTACCTTGTTCAGATTAGGAGTTCAAGAATGCAGTTAAGGATGGGGAATATTGTGGGATGTAGGTTTGGGGTAAACCTCTCTATGGAAGACAATAACTTACTCAACATTTGTATTCTCTATTTGTGTGCTGTCAATAATTGCTTTAAACAAGGAAAACCTCAGATGAAACTGCTATATATAGCAGAAATACAGAGCCAAGAGCCTGGTTTTTGTCTTAAGAAAAATCGTTAGTCCTTAAAATTTGTTCAAACATTAACCAAAATTAATAGCATGTTAAAGACTAGCGGCATTCAATAAAAAACAAACAAAACAACCAACAATGCCACCTGCATTCCCACAAAAAATACCTGAACCAAACTTTCTGGTTTTCTTCACTTGCCCTACTGACACATCTATTAAAAATTCACGCTGTACTTTCAGAGATCATAGAAATCAGTTCCAGCTTTAGCATTTAGCAGTGTTGCACCAGTCACATAGCTGTGTTATGCTGTTTCTTTTCTTGCACGTGTAACATAAATGCAGCTAATATTTGGAGTTGGTACTGTAAGATTTCATTAACATTCATTAACATTCATGAAACTCTAACACCTTGAAGCAGGAGGAGTTATGGAAATAATACTCTCACCACCCTCAAAATCAGGGATCAGAATGTGTAATCATATTATATAGAAAAAAGGAATGTCAGAACTGCAGCCTTATCCCTTCCTCCCTGCTGCTCCTCCATTCCTAAGTTGGAAACACAGCATGCTTGCCCTACAGATAGCATCTGGTGCTTCCTTCCTCCATTGTGTTGGTTGGGTGCAGGAGGGATACCACTGTATAGATAGCAGTTCAAGGCGCATCCCTCTTTTCCTTGTACATGAAGGTGATCTGTGAACATAAATTTTAAATGTTCTCATTTTAAATAAAGGTTACTGTAAACTATCCCTATATATTACAACCACAGATATGACCTGCAGTCAAAGGGTCTGTAAGCGCCAGTAAGAGTCTTTTGTGAAGGGAAGACTTCAGGCTTACTCCTACAAAATGCATTTCCTTCAATGAGTTCTATAAATACAGAAGTTTTCATTGATTTTTACTGCGAATTTTATTTAAAAGCCACAATATGATATGGGTTGGTGATGTCTGTTACAAGACATCCTCTCTCACTTGCTATTCCAAAATCTTTTTTTTAATTTTTTTTTTTTAAATTTTTTGTAGTGAGACAATAATCTGATAATAAGCTATTCTCTACCAATCAGAGCTCTCAAGGCAATGTTCAATTGCCACCCAGATTTTCAGGATTTGAATATATCCTTCATTTTGAGATTGCAGCTATAAACTTTGCTGAATCAGGCACTGAGGATTACGTACTGCTGCCTTTGTTTAAAATACACATCCCTTTTTGACACATAACTCACCATTTCTTTTTAGGTAGGACACGGTTTCCTTCATTACTGGGGGAATTAGTTCACCGCTATTTTTGTCCTTGATACTGTTAGAAAGACAGAAAAAAAGAAAAAGTAATAGCCTTTAAGTGCAGACAAAGAATCAAACAAAAGGCAGAACAGTCTCAGGAAAAACCTTAGGGACTTTGAAAGCATGCATTTTCTTCTAAAAATCAAGGAGCCTGCATCTTGGCACCTGCACCAAACATGGTACTGCTCCACAATTGCAAGAGGTACAGAATGAGCCGGAGAGTTTTATTCAAAGAGCCATTCCTAAATGCTTTTTTTCCTCCTAGAAAAACTGTACAACCACAAGGGCAATGAATGTAAAGAAGGGCTGTTTTCTGCTCCAAAGAGAAGTTGAAGGCAGAGTGGCAGTAAGGTGTTCCAGGCTGAATTTGCCCCCATTCAAGGTTGGTTTCTCTTTAGTTTTGTTTCCCTGGTTGTAGCGCCCAACGATGTGGTGGTGACACAGCACTGATGATGCAGTCTGGATTCAGTTGCACACGACTGCTGCAACGTGGTTTGAAAGCAGGTCGGATGCAGACAAGAAAAAAGCTTGCATCGACTGCTTTGTAACAGTCTTGGGGAATGCTGCAAGTTTAGAAGCCTTTTATCATGCAAATTTTTCTTTGTCATTTCTCCCTTTTTAAGTCACAGAGTATGTATAAATAAAAGGATATTGCATTATTTATTCTGAAGGCAAAGTGACGCAGTGAGATTGAGTTTATTAATGCTTTGAATGATTCTCACAAAATTAGATTTCCTTTTCCTTCACGAGTGAGCAGCTGAGGCAAAAAATCGAACATAGCATTTTCTTAATCTAGAAACACAGAAAATTCCTCAATTATCTAAAAATATGTCCCCAGTAGTTTCAAAAGTATAACAAAAAGATAGTATTTGTCAATCATTTTGCTACATTTTTATAGTAATCAACAACAAAACAAAGCACAAATCTCAGATTTTAACGTAAAAATCAAATTATTTGTATGAAAAAATTAATGTCATATTTAAAAGGTGACCAGCTTTACTGATGAGCTCTAAAGCACCAGCACAAAACAGCACAAAGGCTGCATTATGAGAGGCTGCAACTGCTGCGGTTATTCCATAGAGTGTGTGAGGTGCTCACACAAGCTGATACACACAGCATGTTAAACACACCTTGTGCTCCCGGCTGCGGTTGTGCCTGCGGATAGGAATGAGTCTTAGAGTTTTTCTTCTCAAGGCAGTGTGATTTTTTGTCTTTCTGCACAGGCCTGCTTATTATTTTATTAATATAAAACAACTGATACTAACTGGGCTGTACTAGATACAGTTTCATAACACTTGCATGGAATGAGCCATCAATGATTTTATTTTGCATTTACACTATACATAAAGGGGTAGGGAAACTGTTGAGTGAGGGGCCCTTGGCCCTTCTACTTCGTGTTTGTTTTCCTTGTGCCTAAGAAGGGAGATAGGAGAGGACATGCAGACTGCTTAATTTTGAGACTCCACCGAGGAGGATGGTCACCCCAGGCTCACACACAGGGCTGGGGGGGGGAGCTCCTCGCAAGGGAAGCATCAGGATCCTGACTTAGTCACCAACTTGCCCTGTGTTTTTACCTCTCTTACTCATAAACTGACAGGGGAATTAATACGCTTCACACTATTTGGTGTTCAGCCACCAAGCAGTTCGATCTCATTCATCACTCCAGAGGCACAATGCTGTTGGAAAGGGAGTAAGTTGTTCCTTCAGCTGCAGAACTAACGAAGTTGATGTGTTACGGATTTGTAGCCTGTGCCCTCTGTTTCCTCATCAAGTAGTCCTGGACCATTTTCCCTATATCATTTCCAACTTTTATGTAGTATTATCATTTCTTCCTGTCACCTCTTTATCTCATATTTCCTTATAATGTTAGGAACAACTCATAATTAATCACCACCTAAATACTCACAGGTGCATCAGCAGACCAAGAACAACACAAAACTGATTTTATGCTTTAATTGCTCTCCTTCCAGCCAATGATTTCTAAAAGCTTGTAGTAGCAGTATTTCTAAGTAATAGTAGTATTTCTGAGAGCCCTGTTGACAGGAATCCATAGCTCCCCTATAAAAAATGACTAAAAATATTAATCCATTCAACATTTTTTTCCTGTTCTTATTCAACAAAGTTTCTACACCAGACACCTAAGTGTTTAAAATTCAATACTGCTCTAACTGTGTGTTAATACTAATTTGTGGAAATATCACTGCATCTACATCTAACAGGAACTATTCACAGGGGTTTTCTTTAATGTAAACAGATATAGGAATTCCGCTAGAAATTACAATCCAGTTTCACATACTAAGTTTATAACAGAATAGTTTTAGTCATTTGACCAAAAAAATTCTGCATATATATGCAATGCACTCGGGGAAAGTAAAAGACCAGTGGCAAGAACTGAGTTTAATTCAGATAATCCTGAAGGCTGACCTTCTGTGTATTAGTAATTCTCATAATTTGCTATAGTTTACAAGTAGGAGCTTCAGATCAAATGCGACAACTCGCTATCTTTACACACTGGCAAGGTGCCATTAATTTCAATCTAAAATACTACTGGACTAGCTGGATTAATCACTCTCTGCTATATCATAATAACTTAGCAATGGCCAGAAGAAAGATTTATGACCTGACTTATAAGACAAAGGCCAATCTCAATCTTTATCATTATCACAGACATCTTATGAGAGCTACTCCAAAGGCCATGAGTATTTTAGGAAAAAAACCTCACTAACTAGACACAATCGTTGCCTGAAATGCTACCTGGGCCATGTGTATGGCCTAGTCCTCAGTGCAGCATCCCCATCTTACCCACGGGGACTATCAGGTGCCTGAGTGAAATAAAATCCCAGCAGTAAAATCCTCCTAGTTACTTTCAGGATATCAGTTCTGTCACTCCCAAAGTACCAAGCCTCTCCTGCTTCCTCCAGCTCTGATATTACCTTCAACAAGCTTAGAGCAGTCTCACATGTTCTGGTGACACTTCAGAGTGGACAGCCAGCCTGAGTGCTACAACCACGCAGAAGTTGTGCAGTGCTCTAAGAACAGCTCTGAGACCTGTGTTGTGCTTCCCTTCCCCCTGCTATTCATATAGACCAAGGGGAGGAAAAATCTAAAAGTAGTTGTGCTGCAATGCTGTGAGCTCTCATCCCCTAAAGAAGGAATGCAGCCTTCTGTAGGGCTTTTGTCACCTCTAAAAGTTTGCAGCAGATCACTGTTGCCTAACAAAACCTGCCCCAAAATAGAAGAGAACAGGCAATTTTTGAACAGCCCACTAATAAAAAACCAGGACGTTCAGAGGGTTGTTTGCACTGCATGCCAGGTTGAAATTCCCAAAGTTGAAATGATAACCCCCAAAAAGTGTCTAAACAAGAAAAGTGTGGGAGAGATGAGGCCAATTTCAAGGTCAAATTTGGGATACCACTGAAGAAAAGCTTGCAGCAAACCAAGACAAGAGGAAAAAATGCTATGTATTTTTTGTGTGCAATATGTATAATATATTTCTAATATGGCAGCTAAGACACATTCTTTGTGCAACACAATCGTGTGTTCAAGTAAGTACCTTAAACTTTTAGGGCAAGTGTTATTAAAATCAGTCAAAAGCCTAAATCACTTAAATGGGGACATCATCAAGACTTTAATTTGCTCGGAAGCTGTTACATTTTTATTATTGACAATTTGAGCTCATGGAACCCATTCTCAGCCCCTTTGAAGTTGCACTGATTTGATTGTTTTTGCTTTCTTACAGCTGCTCACTCCAGAGAAACCAAATAGCAACCCAGCAGATTTTTATAAATGTTTTCTAATTATTATTGTTTCCTATAAATGTGTTTCCTCATTTCAGTGTATAAATAGCAAACTGATTATTTACAGCATTTTCTCCTGCTGAGCACTAGCCTATCTGTCAGAGAGGTGAAACAAATAACTGAGCTATGACTTGTAATAATAAAACCTATGCATCATTTTTCTTTCTCTAGGAAAAAAAAAAAAATCTAGTTTCTGCACATTTGCCATTTTTGGCATGATTCTTTTCTCTTGAAGAGAATTCCCAGCACATGAAAGAGGACCTCAGGATAAAGCGTATTTTAAAATAGAGTAGAAAATTCACTGAAAGTCACATGCAAAGCTTTGTTCTGTTTTTCCAACACCTGAGAAAGTTGGAATGCATATTTTCACAACATTGTACAAGGTGGAAAATACTGTTCAGCTTACTGGACCTAAGGTGACAAAAAATAATAGGGGCATTACCTCAGCTAATGTAAATCAGAACAGCCCAGAGGTCAATGAAATTACACCTCTATCTTCCCTTCCTGTCAAATAATCTGCATTTTTCTTGCCCCGTTCAGGATGGTGTGATGAGCAGCTGTGCTCTATGATGGACAATGTAAACTGCTTTTAGAGGTCAGGCATTTTGAAATGAGAGATCTCGTATGCTTTTTGCTTAAGAGAGAAAGACAAAACAGAACATTTCAGTGTACAGTATAGTCTTCTGTAACTGATTTGCACATCTGAATCACTGTTGCAACAATATGTTAGATTCAAGAGGGATCTATTTCAGTAAACACAATAGCTAGAGAGAATGAGTACTCTTCACTACAGAATATGTGATCAGTTACTGCAGTGCCATACATTCAATGATTCATTTTTAGACTGTGGACAGTTATCACGAAAGACCTCTACACATTGTTCTGAAGTGCCATTAAGTATTCTTGGTTGATAATCTCTCTCTCTCTCCTCTTCCTCTCCTTTTCATTTTTTCCCTGCTGAGACATGCCGAGATCCAGTTTTGAATGCATTCTTGCTCCGTGGTCATGCATGCCCAGCATGCACAAGCAGAAAGATTATGTCCAAAAGAAAAGCACCCTGAAATGTTTATGATAACAATTTAACAAGCAAAAGCTGTACAGTTGTTGCAGTTTTGTGCATTTTCCTCTGCCTTATCTCTCCATCCATGGCACTAAATACAAAAACAAAGCATTCCCTGTCTCCCCACAAATGATACTTAATTTTAAATTTTAAAACCAATCAGAGAAAACAGAACAATGTCAACAGCTAGTCAAGGTCAGCTCTGTGTTCCGTGCTGGAGCTCAGCTGTAACCATCCTTGATTACAGAGGCAATAGGGTGCAGCAACAGAGGTTCATAGGAGCTTGCTGAATGTACAGCAGAAGACGATGATTCAGCTTGGCTCACAGTCAGTTATTTATTCTTTATACGTTTTGCAAATTTAGGATCCTTTATTTGTGCACTTGAGCTATATTTTTCTCAACACCACAAGTAGAGGGTGCCCCATTTTTTCCCTTGCCTTTTTAAACACAAAATTTTACAAATGGCTTTTACAAGAAAAACCCTATTTACACAATACACAAGTAGTGAGGATGTATTCTGAATAGCTAATTCCTGCTGCTCTGCACTTTTTGTGTGAAGATAGCCAGGCAGAATGAACACAAAGCTAGTCCTGCTTTACGACCACGACACATGAGCTTTCTTTGAAATGTCTGGATTTATAAAATTTACAGCTACTGGTGAGCAACAAAGTAATTTTCATAGCACTGCATGCTATCCTTTGCAAGTTAGGAGTGACTACAAACTACAACATTATAGCAGAAGGTGCATCCCTGTACACTTGCCCTTTTCTAACCCTGCTCCTTGCTAGCCTTTGCTATTACCCTCTATTGGAGACAGAATGTGAGGCTTGATAGACCTTTAAACTGACTTATCATGGTTCTTTATCTGCTTGCTCCCTCTGCACATGAGAAGCTTGAGTTAGCTAAAGCACATAATTTACAATAAACACACAAAATATTTTACCAACTGATTCTTAAGTGCTTGTCAAAATGAAGCACGGTTTCCCACCAAATTATGTCTGAAAAATCAAGTGTGGGCAAAACTTCCTCAGAAGGAGTGTTCTGCCCAATATGCCCATTAAGATGTACATTAGTTTCAGTTGTGTTATTTTACATTTTCAAGAGAATCACATTGCTTTCAACATGAGATCTAATATTTAAATGTGTTCTGGGCCACTGGAACAGGCAGAATTTGGCACCCAGGAAAACCAGGCTGGAGGCCAAAAATATCTTGGAAAGACATTCAGCCAAGCCAACTGGGCAAGTCTGCTCTGTACACATAGGCATAAAGAATTAATTCAGGAGAGCACCCCTTTTTTTTTTTTTTTTTTTTGTCTCCTATGCTTCAGAGAAGTCCTACTGCCACTTCTTGATGCCTTTACTAAGCTCATTTATTATGAGTTTAAGAACTACAGTACCTCCCATGTAGACTTCAGGAGAACTTGGTACCAGATTCAAGTTCCAACTGTGAAGACCAAACAACTGTCCTCATAGGAGCTCACAATGATACAGGCTTCAAATTCATGTCTCTGAGCAACAAGTTACACGCTTAAATTCCAAAGATCTAAGTTAAAATAAAATTGGGTTAAGATCTTTGCTGAATCACAGTGTGAACAGCTGGTATGGGATAACAAATTTCTGTGACTCAGCCCAGAACAGATCCCTGATCTACTGAATCTCTCTCATATCGTTACTGTCTTGCTCTCCTAGGTAAGATTCAAACATACCATGTAGGAATACTTCTACGTTTCAGAGAATCAGTGGCATCAATCATAACAAACATTTCCCTTTGAAAATAGTTGTTCTCATTAAGTCCACTCCTGCACAAGATCCTGGGTTCCTTCACAGGTTTCTGTTAATAGGCATTTGGAAAATTGGGACCACAGGCAGGTAACTATGTAATCTATCTTCCTTTCTGCATCGATAGCATGTGTTTGATCTGTGCCTACAGAAAGAGCATTGTGTATGCCTCAAGCAGTAAAAACAGTGATTTGACTGTTCAAACTCCTCTCTGCACATGATTCAGAGCTCCTCTTTAGCTTCATTTATTTCATTGCACCATACAACAGCAGCACCTTGACTCACAGAAAAGCTCTTTTAAATAAACTATAATTTCTAAAGCTCCCTCTATTATTCTACACCTATAATAACCAAAGTACATAAAAACTAGTACACACAAATTTTTGAAACACCCTGAAAATGTCTGCAGTAGCTATCTGAAATTATGAGACACAAATTAAATGCCTACGAGTGTGCCGCTATGAAGTTTTCATACACACATGATTGGAATGACCAAAAATTCTTTCTACCCATACTCTTCATGAGTAACATGGTGGCTGCTAACCGTGGTACAGACAACAGCACTGCCTGATTTTTTACAGAATAACATTCAAAAAGATATGGGTTTTTCTACTTTCCATATCCAGAAGTCATTGGGATATCATTGTCTAACATCTGATCAAAATTAGGCTATCTAGGAGGCTTTGGATAATCTCACTCACCATCTTTCAACTGCCTAATTAAAGATCATCATTCCAAAGGTGCTGAAACAAATGAAACTTCAGGCTTATGAGTCTTAATATTTCTTTTCTCACATTACAGAAAAAGAAGTCTGCAAGAAATAGTCCTTTAATGGCAATAACTTTCTCTCAATAGCATCACTGATAATACTGTTTCCACTTGACAGTACTGAAACACATGGCACACAGCACACATATTCCCATAAACCCATACAAAATAAAATCTGGGTCATTCTGCATCCTTTTCAGCAAACGGAAAGAGCCTCACCTAGGAGAAGGCTTCAAACCTGTATCATTGCTAAATACATGGGAGATCACAGAAATTTTGCCATTACAGACTATAGACCTCATAGAAGGAGAGGGAACAAGTAAAAGCAATTGATTCACCAAGAGAATACTTTTTTTCTGGTTCAGATTTTAGAAGCTGTCAACACATATCATTCTCTTTCCTCCATTAGCTTTACCTTCTTCATAAATATGGCATATATTAATTCATTTATTTCTTATTTTGAAGTCATAGAGGATTGTCATCCTTTTTATATTCAGGAATGCTGAGGCATGGTGAGACATTGTCTCCTGTGAGAGCTTAGATAGAACTGGAAGCAAGAAACTGCATGCCCTGATGCCAGTAAGCAGTCCCACTTTCACAACAGGAGCAGCAGCATAAAACATTGCCCTTCTTAATGACCCAATGGAGTCTACCTAAAAGATATCTTCTGAATTAAGGAAGTGACTTACTCATGTCTCAAGTGTTAGGCTGGATTCTAAAAAGGTATCATAAAAGTTAATGCCATAGCAGCTCTTATACGATAGATACTGATTGTTCTAATATCAGGCCTTCCACAGAGGACTAATGTTTAACATTTAGCAGGGGAAAATTATATTTTATATCTCATTTATAGCTGAATCATTAGCACCAGATAAGCAGACTTGGGGGGTGGGAGGAAATCCAAATGTCCATGGATCAGACAGAATAAATTGGTTTTTCTGAATGCGAACATTTGCCAGCTGCTCTTGAAGAAGAAGCCATGGCAAGATAGCTTTCCATGTCTTTGGCAGAAATTACTTAGTTGGAAGCTAGAAGAAGATTTTGCAGTTTTCACTGCTGTTGTTACTTTTCAGGTGTCTACATTTCTTTGCTTTTTTGGTTTTGTTTGCTTCTGTGCTTTGTTCTAGCTGTTTTTAGCAAAATTGCCTTTTGAAAGTATATTGCTATCCCATTCCTTGTGTTAAGTAAATCATTTTTTTTACACCAGATACTGTGCTGTAATTTACATAAACAGCTGTGAGGGCCCTTCTGTAAGAGTGATTGTATTCATTCCATAGAGCTCTGATAAGAACAATACTTGGGCAACAAAGCAACAATTTATCAATTCATAAAGGCTAAAACATCCATTTTAGATTTTTGCAGCCATTTTTGACTCTGAAGCTTTGCTATCCACAAGTTATCTATCAGTAACTCCAAAACACTTTCCCATCTGCCAGCAACCACCAGCAACAGGTGAGCTTGGGACTGTCATTTATGGGCAAATTTCTGTCCATGGAGAGAAAAATTGTGCAGCAATAGTAGCACTAACTACCCCAAAGATACTATAAGCATGAAGACCAGACACAGGGATTGTAAGACCTGTCCCAAATCGATAAATATTACTGCCTAACCCTGTAGATTTCTGGCTTTCAAAGGGAATGAGAAACTAAACATATACTAAAAAAAAAAAATGTCTGCAGACTTTGTGTCTAGTGAACCTGCATATTACAGAAAGCTGCAGGATATAGAAATCTTCTTTTTCAGAAATCTCATAGCTTACTATTGCAGGCTGACTCCAAATTGCTGGGTAGGTAGAGGTGGTCTTGGTGGAGGAACCTTGACCACAGGTGGCAGTTTTCCCTTGTGTTTCCCCCGAAGATTTTCATCATGTCTGTAAAAATCAAAAACTCACTGATTTTCTATGCATCACAACTGACAAGTTACATATATGAACAGCAGCTACCAGTGTTGATGCTGATCACCTGACAACAGTGTATATGCTGTGGGTCTTACAGGATTTACATTTACTATAATTTAAGCAATAGGGAAATTTTTAAGAGATATTTGCTAAAGAATTCTTAAGCAAGACAAAAAAGAGCTTTCTTTATTTTTATTTTTTGCTGTAGCCAATGGAGTACAGGAATAAATGTGTCCAAAAAATAGGAACACTCTATAATTTAAAAGAAAATTCAAGCCTCTTTGCTACTCAGAATACAAATCTCCTCTCTTTTGCAACCTTGCAATCTAATTTATAACCTCAGAGCTCTAAGGTATTTTCAGTTATTCCCTATTTACTCAGAAGATGTGTAAAAACCCACCTGGTGTCAGTAACAGTCATAATCAAAGCTTCCAGTTACTTTCATTCAGCAGTGACATAAAATCATTTCCTGTCAGTATATCAAGGCATTTCCATGTAAAGAGTAGTGTTGAAAAGACTGTTATTGATACTAATATTGGCACTTGATAATCCCAGCCCAATGTACTTCTTAATCTTTCCCTCTCCATTACTCCTCCGTAGCACACACACAAGCACCACGTTAAAGTAATTGATCTGCTAACAATAGACATATCCATAAAATTCAAAATCAATTAACTCTTTGCTGACTGTGATAGCTCTTCATAAATGGAAGTCATTTGATCCATTACAATATGCAAGCAAAGAGGTCAGGATTGTATTTTTGCTGATGACATTATGCAGTACCCATAAGTAGTAGCAACACATGGACTTTGTTAACACTCACATTGAGGCTGCAATTATATGAAGAAAATGCTCCACAACTGAAATGTAGAGGTTTCAGACCTGTAGAAAACTACATAGGGTTCTCCTGTGTACACATGTGACACACTCTAGCAATTCTTACATGACAATGCAGATTTCAGAATTAGATCCAATCAAGTACAGAAGGTAAATTAAACTTCCAGCCACTGAAGAAATAGGATTAGATTCTGCTTGGAATACAGTGAATGTAACACAAGTGTACCTGAAAAAATGTGAGACAAAGTATTTGAAACTTAACACGTACCGGATGACTTCTTGAGGAATATTAAGCTGGTCATATTTGAGATGTTCTCTCAGGTCACTTAAATAGTTCAAGTAGGTGACTTTTTTCCCAAACTTATGGCTTAAAAAAAAAATTGGAAAGAAAAAAAGTACAAAAATCAGCATGGGAGAAGCATTTATGAAGGCTTTAGTTTCCATTACAAAAATGTAAGTGCTGATGCAACTCAAAATTAGACTGTAATTGAAGCAGCAGGAGACATGAGATGTATTTCATTTTGTATGATCAAACATATACAGTGCATGCCTGAGAGTCTGATTTGAATAAAAATAACTGACTTTCGTCTGAATGTTTTTTGATTTGCATAGATATGAAAAACACTGCTTTAAAAGCCACTGAAAAACAGCTTTCACACAGCATTAGAAAGCTCACTAAAATAATTGTTAACTCTGGAGAAAATGTTGCATGCCCAACACAACGGTTGTGTTATTTAGATATTTGTTCTTACCAAGACATGAAATAATGGGACTACAGACACAAACCATTAAGTATTAAATGACAGGCAAGATTTTCAAAGAATGGATAATGTACATCCTTGAAGTGCAGGGCCATCAGATTTATCTGTTTTGAAAAGAGCTGGATAGCTTCTGAACAATAAAGCTCTCTTGATGAGCTGAACAAAACAGATTTTCCAAATTTGGTGCGAGAAGGAAGGCAAGTTAGGTTTTGAGTTTCAGTTACGTACAGTCCAAAATAATGTCATATTTTTCTGGGATACAAAGTGTCTGTCCTGTAATGAATTGTCAATACAAGCAGTAGGTGTTCATGATGAAAACTGTGCTTCGCTGCATGTTACTTTGATATCTGAACTAGAGAAAAATTCTCTCGCAGTAATGAATTTATCACTGAATTGTCAAACACGCATACGCACGCTCCCTCTAGTGGGCGATGACACAAATGCAAGTCACTTGGGCATTTTAGAAGCTCTCAAGTGGAAAGCGCAAAATTTTGCCATCAGGCGAGTGGTTTTATTACTGATAGATATTAGCCCACTGTGCAGAACTTCAGATTTTTCAGCTTGTCTTTTTTCCAAGTCTTTTTTTTTTTTTTTTTTCTGGTCTCTGATTTCAACATCATACATAAGCCATGGGCTTACAAAGAATTCTCCGTAATTGACTTTTCAGAGTTAATTCATTCCTTCAATTATTTTGTCATAATAAATAGTATTATAATCATTGCTATTATTATTATTACCAGTGTACCAATTTGTTTCTGTTGGTCACTTTTTTTTTTTTTTTTTTCTTTTTAACAAGGAGCAGAGTGCTATCAGATTAGACTCAAAACAAGTATCCAGGTAAGCAGTACTAAAAGTCAAGCACAACATGAATTGTTCATTGCTATGAAAACAGGGCATTATAAAGGACAAGATGATCGTGTATCTAAGATGACAAATGCTGGTTTCAATTTTCTGTGCTGGATATGAATGCTTAAATTTATCAGGAGCACCCATTTTTACATCCAAAGTAAATAATGATTTAAATGCCAGCATTTAATAGTAATAATAGTGTTCCAAGAAAGAAAAAGGTATTTGTCTTATCTATGCAAACATCATAAGATCCAGGGAAAATGAATGCTTGAAGAGATAACCATGTATATGTACTTTTTTCAAGAATTAGCAGCAGTGTTTATCCACCTGTAGCCCCACTGAGAGCATTAAGACCAAAGGGACATTGAAAATTTGAAGTGCAAGGAGGGTTATAAATACATTCAAACCCTGGAGCCAGCACTGATTCCACACCACAGTGTGATCAGCAGCTGAATACTCCCAGGCAATAGCTGTCCTTCACTATTCTACTTCTTCCTTTAGCCATACAATGCCTGGCTTAACAACTTGGCCTGAAGCTGACTTCTCAGCACCCCACAAATCATTCTCAACTGCCTCTTAGAAAGAAGTTGGCTGTGCCTGAGCCATCTTAGAACAAATCATGACTACTTGTTTGTTGTGTTCCTGTTTATTGTTGTTGTTGTTTGTTTGGGTTTTTTTGTTTGTTTGTTTGTTTTTCCAAAACCTTTTGGATAATTCCTCATAGCCATCCTACAGCAAATCAGGAATAAAAAATATCCATACAGTTCCTGAAGTTGAATCAGCTACTGCACCTCCTGCTTCTGTCACAGTTTTGTCACCGCTGGTCTGTGTCCTGGATTACTGACATTTCATGAATGATATATTACAAAATGAGTTCTAGCTGCATTTTTTTAAAATTTCACATGCTTCTTGCATGTTCTGACCTGTCTAAAAGTTAACCTTTACAATTAATTAATTTGCTACCCAGTCAGAAAGTGCAAGTTAGCATAACGTACATTAGGAGCTGATTCACTATGGCTTCTAGGGATAAGTTGTTTTATTCTTTCAACTCTAAGGACATTCATAATCTGCAACATGTTGGAATTACTTTGAAAGCAGCAGAAGTTCAGGAGCAAAAACTTAGAAGTCCAACCAACTTAGTGCTTGTCAGAATCCATCCATCATTGCTGGTTCCTTGTAGCTACCATTAATTTTCACAGTGAAAAGGAAAAGAATCCACTGGTAAAATATACCCACCATTATACTGTCTATCTCAAATTCTTATGAGCACTTCAGGGCTTATTCATTAACTTTGAACACACTAGTATTATCAGTCCAATTCATCTCAGCACTTGAGATCAGACCAAAGGTTAGCCATTTATTACCTGCTTTACCATACCACCTAGAAACTCCAGTCATGGACTTAGTTTTTTTTCGTGCTAAGTGCTGTTAAACAGAACAAAAAAGTCATTCATGCCCACAGAATAACTATGTTTTGAAGGACTATTTACTTTAACACACCACTGAACCCTTTATTAATTAAGACTTCATAATTTTAGAAAGAAAATACCCTCTACCCTGTTATGCATACTCAAGCTTAAGCTCGTCTTATGTATTAGTTCAAGCCAGTTTAAATGGGTGTTGTGCTGTTACTTGATATATTTTACCTCAAGCTTTTTAAAAGCAACCTGAAAGAGAACAAATCATCTTTAAACTAGACAGGAAAATTGTCAAGTACCTTATAAGAGGTTTAAAAATATTCCACAGAATTTTTATGAAGTTGGTTGGATGTACAACATAGAGTGCTTTGAGGTTTTTCTTATACCTAAGAAAAAAAAATGAAATTGTTAAGAAAATTTTTGAATATCATAGACTGTAGAAATGAGTAGGTACAACTGAATGGAAGGTATTATTACAGGAATATCATACAGTGTTTTATTCAAGTACATTAAAAAGGCTTAACTCAGGAGAAACTCAACATAAAATGACTTTTTTATAATAAAAAAAAAAGGTTACTTTTGATGATACAACAGTATTCCAAAATAACTATTTTAATCCTAACCAAAGTCTTCTGTCTTAAGGGCTTAATATCCGGAGGGTAGAGGGAAAATTATGAGATGAAGCAACCTGAAAAAGAACTGAGGGGAGAAGGAAGTCTTAAAAATGGATTCCCTCCATTTCTCTTTATTTTCTCCATAAAAGAACTTCATACAGGAGGAAATTTATATATTTTCAGCTGTAAAATTTAGACCTAATCTTCTTTCTCACTACTTTTATCTTGTTTTTGTAGTCATTACTAAAGTTGAAGCCAATTATGCATTGTTTTATATCAGATGGTCCTCTTTGTTTAAAACAAAAACATTCTCCATTACAGCACTGCTTGATTCCATGTTGTCATATAATGGTACATAAACAATAGATTCTAGCAGGCTAAAACTGAAATGGAAACTAGGCACCACAGGAACATGCTGATCTTACTCAACCTTACTGAAAAATGAAACTGAGAAAACCCACAATCAAGCATCTCTTTCTATTCTATACATCAATTGTATACAATACAAATATACATCTATTCTATACATCACATGCTTTGGGCTTTGCAAAGTTTGCTTCAAAGCTGGAGAATCCTCCCCAGTGCTGACCATTCATTCTTATGGGAAAAAAAAAAGAAAAAAAAGAAAAGATAGTCATTAACTCTCAAGAAAAAACCTTTATGTAACAGGTTATTGTGAGAGGGAAAAGAGGATCAACTTAGCAGTTAAAATAGTTCAGTAGTTGAAACAGTTTTTCCTTTTGGGTTTTGAACAGGCCCATGTATGTCTGTGCTGTTTTTACAAAGCCAGTATTACATACAAGCAGATAACTATCCTCCTGCACAACTGGCACTGCTGTAAACTCGAATTCAGTGATAAAAACTCAAAAGCAACACAACTGAGCTGCTTCACTGAAAAAAGTCTGTTTTGCATCTCAAAGTAGAAGGCATAAACCTGCATTTCTGTGGAAGTTTACATGCTTCATATTTTCTTGAACTACAACTGAATGCCCAGAAGACTACACTGGACTTCTGCCATAAACCTTAAAACCAAGAACTACTACCTTGAAATTATTCCAGTTGAACATTTCCTTTCATGATACTAGCTAATTACAATCTTCCTCTATATCTTTTCTCTCACCCTCAAAATACACAAATGGAACAGGTCTGAAAGGTACTGTATTTGTGTTGTGTTTTTGTTTTTTTTTCTCTCTGGCTAGTACAGCTAAACATAAATGCTGGACTGTAAATACCGCTGTGAGCTTCTCGGTGACTGCATGCATGAACTTCAGCTGTGAATAAAATGATGGGTGTGAGGTTGCCTACTTTCTAAAGCTACCTGGGATTATCTGCTCCTCTTTGGTTCTCTCGCATTCTGGGACAGAGTGAAAATGGAGAAAACAGATTTCTGGTGTAATTGTGTTCTTGAGATATATGCAGGAGAGAAGGCAACAAAACTGAGGAAGATATAGTCCCTCTTTCTGCCTCTTCCTATACAGCTGCTGTAAATTAGGCTTGGAATTGTCTCAGAAGGAAAATAATATGATAGGGTATGCTTCCAATTCCACAGAGTGGTTTATTTTCAGGAACTGTCAAAGCACAGCAAAAAACACTATTATAGCCCAAACCTTTCACCGAAGACAAAATATAGGAGATCCTTTGCCATTTTTTCTTCCTTACCCTGTCTCACAAACAATAAATGCATTATAGCAAACATATTCAGAATCCTACTAGCAAAAATAAGCTTTCTCGATCTGTTGCCAAACCGATATCAATTTCTCATTAAGGCACTTAGATACTTCAAATGACAGCTCATCTCTGCAGCTCGGATGGCTGCTGTTTTCTTGCATAGTAGGTTTTAGAGTTACAGGATGCTATTGGGTGAGATTCAAAAGACTGAGCTCTGGCACTAGATAACCAAATTTTGCATATTTGAATTTCTATTTTCAAAGCAGGCTGGTACACAGATGTGTTAAATGCTTGTGTATTTATATTGCAGTTTAATCTAGAAATACACATTAACCTCTTTCACAGTGTCTTTTTGGAGATTTGCTTCTTGATCCAGCTCCCAGATTGGAAAAATCAGGCACATATGATTCATCCCCCAACACGCACACACAAGCACATCTACAGTTCCACTTCGGGAAAAAGCCATTTATGAATGCTTCCACTTCCAGATCTGTTGCCCTTTTTTGTCCAACTCAAAAAACAAGTAAAACAACTTGAAAACAAGTAAAATAACGTGTGAACAACTAAAAGCCTAACTGATTTCAACAGGAACTTCCAGATTTATTGACAAGTGCTTGTTTTCAAAGAATAAACTTTAGAACTGTTTCCTCTATTCAAAATCTATCTACCTAGGAGCTCTGCCTAGTCAACAACACATCCACTCACCCAAAATATAAGTCAGTAGCAGTCACTGATACTTCAAAGGACTGACAGGGGTCATTTCTGCACTTTGCATATAACAAAAAATGAATATTACAAGTATTTTGAGAAACTGCCTGTTAGGATGTCCTATTTCATATACAACCTAGCCTTCAGAAGATTTAAGGTTAAAAAAAAACCTGTGAGATAATCAAGAATGACGGCTAGTAAGGTGTCACAAGCTTCTTGTTAAATAGTGCACAGAAAGATGATGGCTCACGTCTTGCTACCAAGTCTTTGTATAACTTTGGATAATCCTTTCAGCACCTAAGACACTAAGCAGTGCACAGAAGACATTTATAAGAGAACCAACAGACTGAGGCCATTACAAGAATCTGCAATGGCAAAATTAACTCAACCATTAGCTACAGACATTTTACACACACACACAGACCGAATATTCTGGAGACATACTTCCTGTCAAATTCTTTGTAGGCTGTTTGTAACCATTTCAGTGATGGTTTATTCAGACTCTTCAGGCCGTAGTGAAAGTAGACAACTGTATAATCATTTTCTACGTACTGTTCCAGAGTATATTTTAAGTACCTGAAAAGATACCATTTTAGTTTTAAGACAGTGTATTGGATTTTAAAGCAGTAACTGAGAAAGTAAATGCACTGGTTTTGCACTGAACATTCATGACTGCAGATTCATGCTTTCCTCAATGTATTTATCAAACAAGTTCATCTTGTTTTAGAGGCAGCGTTACCAGTAATTCCACCACATTATGAACATATTTAGTTATAAAAACAATGGTACTCACAAATCACTAAAAGATGAAGACAATAAATGACTGTGTTGCTCAGCAAATATTTTAAAGGATACATTTTAACTGGCAGCAACTTCTGTTTTGCTTTTTTCTTGCCTTTATCAACAATTAGCCAAATAAACATAGACATTTTGACCTTTCAAAATAATAAGGGATAAATCTTCTTACTCTCAAATAAAAAGATTTCAAATTCTTGGAAAAATCCATTAACTCTAATTGCTGCCAATTACAACTGGTTACTTTAAACTGTTGTCTTGAATGCACTTGCCTTTCTTTTGTTTGCTTTGCAAGGACTACATTTATAGATCATTTCCTTTAAAAGTAATTTGAAGAACTACACTAGTTATCCCATCTTGAAATAAAAGTATATGTTTTATAAGCAGATTTCAGTGCATTGATTCTTTTGTGGTATAGTGTAAGACACTTTTCCTTTTCTCCTACAATTGAGAGCACTGCATGGTCTATTACACAGCTCAGTGATTCAAATAAAGCAATGATGGAGGAGTACAATCTGGCCTCATCTCTTGCTGTGTCAGATTTCAACTTTCTCATGTCATTCTCAATGTTATCTTATTATTCTGTGACAGAGTCCCAGATATCGTTCTTCACTCATTCAAGTAAATAGACAGTTTCATGTGACACTTATTAGGCTGTGGCTACCTGAAAGTATCAAGGCCACACTGACTGTTCACCTATGCAAAAGCACGTAACTTCACTGCTATGCTGTACTCCCACAGTCTTACTGATCCACTTATTCATCTATGATACTGAAAACCTTAAGACTGAAGATAGTCTGGGACAAGGAATGCTATTGCTATTTACATAATACTGTTTTGATGCCTGAATTGAGTATTAAATGGTATTACAATGGAATTACCAACAACAGTAATTCAAGACTTTCAAAAAGAGTGTAATCAAAATATAAATATATCTAAACATATATTCTGACATACAGAGAGCCTGTTTCATTTTACAGCATGCAAATTCCTTGGCACATTGCCTACAGAAAGCCTGTACTTCTAAAAATAATTGAGGGAGCTTTGAAAGAATAAAATAACCAATATTTTTGTACAATCAACTGCTTGTTACAAGGTGAGATATAAGAGATTTAAACAATAGTATTGTACTTGATGTAGGTCATCTTATAAAAGAGGAAAAACAGTAACATAAATAACAAAATGTTATTGCTAGGTGATTAAGGAAATGAAATATAGCAAATTGAGGCAAACTCATTCACGAGAACATATGTACACAGCGCTAAAATACTAGAATTCCTCTTTCACTGGTCTTCATCATAAATTCTTTGTTTTAAAATATCAGAATTCGTCAATAAAATCAAAACACCGATTTAATTTCAGTACACAGTGAATTACTTTCTCTAGTCAAGATTCCAGGTGAAGAAACCGACAGTTTCATCCACATCTCATTGACTTAATATTAACACTAGTAAGTACATCATTTTTCCATTTCACTCACTGCCTCCTGCTTCTCCCTCTCTGAAAACTCATTCATCTGGAAACAAGCTAAAAGAGGTTCACATATAAATGCGACTCTGTGAATGTAAAGCAGTCCACACAGGAGATTGAGAGAAACTTACTCCAGCAATCTGGTGTGATTGAGCTGGTGGGAGGGGGGCATACGGCAGCAACTGAAGGTAATCACCTTTCTTCCAGAATTGTCATCACCTAGTGAACAAAACAGTTAGTGAATACAACACTCATTTACTCATGCAGTGGGACCTCAGTGATCTGAGGCAGCAGCTTGTATTTTCTGGTATTTGGGGTAATCTTTGTATTTCTCATCTTTACACAAAACACACTGTGAAACTTCACAAGCAAATCACATGCTGCCTACAGAAATAAATTTGGCAACCGTGGCAGCAAAATGATGCAACTGCTGGACAACTGAGGCAAATTAAGCTGAGAAAGACCTATTCAAAGTGTAGCTGATAGTGTGCAGCTCCTGAAAAGGAATGACTAAATCCTCCTGCAGAATTTAACCATGGAAGAAACCATGTCTTTCTGGAGTAGTTGCAGAAACAATGTTTTTAAACTTGTCATCCCTTATTTGCTGCTCCACAACAAAACAATTTAGACATCTGTTCTGTCAAACACTGACGTCAGATTTTTATTTTATCAGCTTAAGCTTTCTTAGATATTTTTCCAAAAGCACCACTGCATTCAGATCTCATTAAAACACAAGACACAGGGCAAACACCTTTGCTTTTCATAACCTGAAGATCACCACGATTCCATCCCTTAATCCCTTCAGCAAAGCACGTACGGGGGCAGTTGAGTTCATTGCACTCATTGGCTCATGACACTTTCACCCACTGCTTGAAAGGACAAAGCTGGTGATGATGCCAGTGCCCACCCAATGCCCAACTTCCACTATCTGGAAACCCACACTCAGAAGATGATCATATTGAGGGTAACTGTACAAAAGACTGTGAGATGTTAAGATCTTAACATATAGGTAACTACTGGAATGAAAAAGCAGAGAAGTAAAAGGGGGAAAGTTAAAGATCTTACATGGTAACTGGACATATGAACCATATGAACATTTCTATGAAAACTGTAGGGTAGAGCAGTTTCAGCTGTTTGAATCAACATCAGTTCTATGAACTCGATAAGCTAAAGCTGATCAAATTGCATCATCTGAATGAGAAAATATTTGCCAGCTTGGAAACATGTATTTTTGATGAAAAGCCTCCAACTATATAAAAATTCTTCCCTTTATTTTGCTTAGGAAAAATTGGCACCTTCACCTGGCAGATTCCACATCAAGAAAAAAAACATTCTTGTGTTTGCTTTATTCAGTTTCTATCCCACATGTATACAGAGGTCGTGATGGTACACTGTTGTTTGGGGCTTTTTTTGTTTGTTTGTTTTAATATGGGAAAAGGGATAGAAGAGACGAGATTAACTTCTAATAACTTCTCACTTACGAATGCTGACTGGGAGACATCTTCTGCATTACCAGTTCCAAGCCTGTGTCATCACCAGGAACTGTACCCATAACCCTTCCTGATTTGTCAGGATCCATCTTGAAAACCAGTTAATTTTTCCAGCTCTTGGTCCTACTGCTCACTGCTATGACAATATGCAACCTTCTTTCTTCAATTTTGGTCTAAAAGTGCTAGCAAGTCTGTACCAGCTTGTTCGTGTGACAATGATGTGATCCAGGTGGAACAGTTCTCCTCCTCCAGTACTGTTTACAACTCTGATGGAATCTCTGGGCAATAATCACTTCTCAGCCTGCATTTTACTGCTTATAAACATGTTAGATCTTCCACCTCTTTTAAAAATCTCCCTTCTCCAATTCCACTGTTTTCTACACTGATCCAGTCTGAGTGCCTGTTTCCTAAGCATGGGTGACAAGGATTAGATAATGAATTGCAGATGAACACCAAAAATAGGACTTACAGGTTTTCTAATAGTATCAACATCATCTTTACTGAAAACTGGGATGAAGTATTCATTTAAATTGTCTACCCCACTCTGATTTCACAGATAATTTATCTCCTTTTTTTTTTCTTTATACAACCAAAGAACCTTTTATTATTTACTTTATCAACCTTTAAAGACTTAACTCAGCTTGACTTTTGGCAGTTATCACTTTAGTCCTGTATTTCTTACTTCCAAAATAAGTAGTTTTCTCTACTGGCTGTTTCTTTTTTTTTCAATTTCTTTCAGGCTTACTACTTATGTTTGCTATCTTTCTTGAACATGCTTTTTCATCCACCATAGTTCGATGCCCCCTTGCCACATTAATAATAAATTCTGATTCCCATGTTAAATAAGGTGCTTGAGCACCACTAAAGGAAGGTTATGCACAACAACATGACTATACATACTCAGGTAAGTGTGTATATTGTTCTTAAACAGGCAATAATTTCATTTCCTGAAGTTATTTAAAGTGTCTTATTTGATGTTCTCAGAGCACTTATTAAGGCATTATAATTTGAAAGGCATTAATATGAACGATGTACTAAAATTAAATTAAAGCATTAATAAAAAATTGTTCTCTAAATCATGACTTGTTTGTGGAAAAACTGCTGTGCTACAGTGCACTGTGGAATATTTTATTTGTTAGACAATCATTTTTATGAGCAAAATAAATCTAATAACGTTTCCAGTTAAATTACTAAATGAGTCACTAATTGTTACTGTTGGTTACATTCCACTGCCTGATTTAAAGGGCAGAATAAAATAACTACCTTTATAAAAGAAGTGTAAACAGATACACTTAGAACACATGTAAAGTGTTCTAGTTCCAATAATCAGAAAACTGGGGTGCAATAGCTTTGCCAAAACTACCAGAAGAGTGGAGAACAGAACCTTGTTCTGCAATTCCATAGAGCTATACGGGCAACAGCCACAATCAGAAATGGTTAATGCGAACCTCAGCTCGACTAAAGGCTAAATAAAGCAGTGCCAGCTTCCCATTAATGATGACAGCTGATAAAAGGAAAGAGGGCGTTCTTTTTACATAGCCATCGATAATTCTTCGAAAAACATAAGAGTTTTTAAATGGCACATGAAGTGCTGATCTGTCAAGTAGGTCTGCCTAGCCCTCTACCAGAAGGGCTGTGACTGAGCACCCTGAAAAATTCCCACTGCTCTAGACCATTTCCTTCACACTTTGAAACACACTGAAGTCCAAAATTTTGAGGAAATAAGTTATGCCCAAACATGTGAAAGTGTAGTTTGAAGGGTGGGAGTATCAATTATCTACACACTTAACAAAGAGCATTACTTGAAGCATGTTGATTTTAAACCAGCATAGAGCAAGTATATAACCCACAAAACCTGTATTACCTTTGGAATTAAATAATTCAGAACTGAAGGATGTCTCTCTTTACAGAAGACAATGCAAAAAAAACCCCAAAACAAAACAAAATACCAAAAAACACAACTTCAGTTTTGTTCCTTGGTGATTTACTTTCAGGTAAAAAATGTAGTTTCATATTAACATATTTTATTCCACATTACTCAATAGCTTCAGATGATAACTTGTTCTATGCTTCCATGTTCCTCTTCTCCTTCTACACTGCTTCTGTGCTCTGGCAGTTCCACAGCATTCCCAAAGACTGGGTTCCTAAACTGCTTGGGCACCTAAACTCCCCAGCCCACTCTCTGTGTTCATGCTCTCATCTTCTTCACACTGGCAAATCCTTTGGCTGAAATCCTTCTCTCGCAAAGAAAAAAAGTCTGAGAGATTTCCTTCACCTATGGGTGGAAGGGCATAGCCTCACTTGGTACTCAGTAGCCACATTCATAGGTAAAGTATGTAAATAGAAAGATGATGACAGCCTCAGCATTATCAGCTGTGCTCACTGCTTAGTCACTTCTGTAATCTCATTTCTGTCAAGCCAACCTCCTTCTCTACACCTCATGAGTAAAGAGGGGTGTGTGGAGTGCAGTGTCCAGAACAGGATTTATGCCCATTAAAATACAAAATGATGGAATATTATTTGTGTGTATTTCTCTAAAGCAGACATGATTCATACATCACTTCTGATATCAAACTTTGCAGTACCAAGGAAAAAAAAGAAGTTATGGTAAGAAACAAAGAAGAGCAAGTGGGAAAATGGATTCTTCTACTTTTTAATTAAGAATTTGGATGGCACAGCACTTACTGCATCTTGCAAATGAAAAGTTTTTTTCTAATGATACAGCTTATTCCAATTTACAAATGAGAGATTTTGAATGCTATAATTTTTGTAAGACTTTTTAAAGCCTTTCTTCTAATGATGCTAAACGTTACTATTTTATAAAAGTCAAATATATTATTTCACTGAAGCTTGTCATTATCACATTTTGTTAGCACAGAATGATCCTATAGTGAACGGAACTTCTGCCTTTGTTTCATTGAGAGATGGGAGTAGGAGCTGGGTCAAAATCCAAGGGACTTGCCACTACAGTGAAAAGACTCACTCCCATATGCTTCTTTCTTAGAATTTAAGTTACTGAAAATAAGTTTAAACTTCATTTGCACTGTGTTAAACTTGTCTCAGCAAGTTTGAAGGTCCCTCCTGTTCTCAGTGACTTGGAGAAATCAGGGGTTACAAAAAAGCAATTACTAACAGTCTGTGTTTTGCACTGGATGAGTAAATATGCCAACAACTAATGCTATGTAGGTCTCTGCCCATCCATAATAGCAAACTTCTTAGTCACAAAGAAGCACACAGCCCTGATAACACAGCTGAGTCTCAACACCAGCAGTAGAAGCTAATATCTTTGCATGTAGATATGAGTCTTCTTTCCTAGCACTGATTACCTTGGCCAATCATATGAAAATACATTACATTACAGTGGATATTTTAAGACTTAAACTTTAAAGTGGCCAATATTTGTGATAATGAGTTGGCTGTTCTTCCACTATAATAGACATTAGATTCCCCAAGTAGGTAACGGGAGTGACACCAACTCTATGTACCAAGAGTCAGCCTGTTTTGATTTCACACCATTTACTTTTTCCTTCATTACTCAGTTCCCTTCCTGTTCACACAGTAATTTAAATACCAACTTTCTGTGAGAGGACTGCACCTGCGCTGCACCTGGTTCTGGAAAGTGCAAAAATTGTAATTAAAATCAAGTATATGTTCACACGATTTCTTAAAAAGAAGGAATTATAAGAAGTGAGTATTTCAGCAATTTCTTACATCAAGACGTTTGTACCTTCCCTTCAGAAAACAAAGATTACTCAGATTCCTTCATGGACTGTCTCTCTTCTCAGTTTTGGCTAAGAGAAATGCTTTGCCACAACACATTTTCTTCAGACCAGCTGAAAGTGAAGAGACAGCTTGCCTGGTGTAATAAAACATTTACATTTCTCTATGCTCTTCATTAAGTATACAACATTTGTTGAAATATGGCTAAGTTAAAGCCATTCCTGAAGTCAACCACTAAGTTCAGGTATGCCTGGCTCAATCTCTGTATTTTCTCAGACTCAACATGAAACCTCCTTCATATTCTTTGATGAAATTAATTACGTTCTTCCTTTGAAAGTGACACTACTGCTTGCAGCCTGACATTCAAAAGCAAGAAATGCCATTAGGATCAATTCATTTCATTTTACATTCTGAAGAAAATAGTTGGAGAAAGAAACAACAGGAAAACTGTCTGCATGTGAAAAATTCAAATTCAATTCCTACCTGAAGGATTTGAACCCGTGTTTCTAAAATGACAAGTCAAACGGTTAGGAAAGCTTCCCAAAGTGCATAGCCAACATTAATGTCTGCTCTTGAGCTGCAAATAACATACAGAGCCCTCAGTTTCCTTCTTGAAAACTGCCTACAGTCCTTCCTGAAAATCTGTAAGTCTTAGGTCTCTCCAGTCAGTTTCCCGTTTCCCACAAGAAGATATAATTTATGAAATAACACCAAAGCTCCTGATTTCAGGAATATCTTTTGGAAATAAGACTGACTTTGTCCATTTTATTTTCTTTCAAGAATAAAAGCTTTAAACCTTCATCTTTATTTTGGCATTATAATTTACACAGATCCCCAGTGGGTCTGCTCCTGGGGTATTGCAGGAAGTAGCAAAGCTGTCACTGAGATGGACTGAAAGTTACAAAGATGTGTGACTTTCAGAAGAAACAGTAGTGAATTACATAATGAGAGTAAGACACAAAAACTACATCATCACTGTTTCTTCCACAGTCTGACTGACATAACATTATTTTAATCATTTTCTAATGCACTGGTCAGAAATCATAAATGAATATGAATGGGAGCTTGAAGAGCACGGACAGAACTTCTCAAATAACCAATCTTTCAAATCCTTGAATATATCTGAAATCTTTAAACATAACAGGGAAAAAAACAATGAAAAGCTAAGGAAAATGTAGAATTAATAAGATGCTTTGCTTCTGTTAAGGAAAGTTTAATCAAACTCGTGGGGATATAACTGACAGTTAATAAAAGCACAAGAGTTAGACTCCTAAATCAACATATATTCAAAATAGGTACTACAAAAAGTTATCAATAATCATATTACAGAAACAACTTAGAAAGATCATATTTGCTTGTATGTCCCTTATTTTTGTTAAAAATAATCACAACTAAACACCAGTTTACTTTCTCTTTAGGCAACAGAAAAACAGGCTGAAATTTCTCCTTCAAAATGGAAATAATAAGAAGCATTGCAGCCTTGTTTCCATTTACGTGTGTTAACCAGTAGCCAGCTGTACATTGCCATTAGTGAGATAAACTAGTAAATGATTAATAAAAAATAATTGAAGTTCACACCTTTTCTAATTTTCTTCTTATTTTTATTTAATTGATTGCATTTCACATTGTATAAGTACAATGCAGAAATCTTCTTTGCATATAGTCAAAGCTATTGTTATGGAAAGCATGTAGAAGTCAATTTATGAGAAGTGAATAGGAATCATAGATTTTTTTTCTTTTAAATAAGTGTTGGAAATTAGATCACAGTAAGAGATGGGTAAATCACTGCAAATATTTTCACCTAAATTCTTTTTTCTTCTTCACTTCAAATAATAATCTCATTGTCTTTCAATCACAGAATCAAACCTGAAGGAGCAGCTTTCAGAATTCCTCTAAAACAAGCATTCAAAGTGCTGAAATTACACTTTGTCTTATTCACAGAGATTATTGAAAGCATTATAAACTAGGTACAAATCATTGTAAAGTGACTCATGTCAAAAGCATTGTTTGACCTTTTCTACGATGGGAAGGAGATCTGAAGAGCTCACCTTTTTCTCTCTTGAATGTAAATCCAGAAAGCATCCAAACCTGATTCCACTCGTTAACTGTGGGGACAAGGAGGTCTCCTTTTGAGGAGGTGAAGTGTATCTTTGGATAGTATTTTACCTTCCCCATGTCATGCATTCATATGTTCCCATCTTGCACTCTACCATCAGAATTATTTCAAATGTGCACACACCGCATTCTGAAGAACAGTTCCTGGCATGTGCTTCACATTTTAATCGCCCTGTAGGTTTGCAAAATCCCATCACATGTTTCTGAAATGGCAGCTGAAGTCATTCTTTTCTATGCTTAGACAAAGGCTGGAGGACCCTTTTTTCCCTACAAAAGGCTACAGTAGTAAGGAGAAAATCAACATAGATAAACTAACACTTCATCCCAGGCTCATCTTGTGAATACTTCAGCAAATTTAGAATACAGCTAATGTTTTGATTGTATTAGAAACAACACTGGTATGGAGTAAGTTCCAAAAAGAATCAGTGGATGCTACCACTACCAGAAAGTCTCTAAAAACCACTGTAGTTTTCATTCCAGACTGCACTGAAGCACATTCCAGTTTTCTAATACAGGAATAAAGAGAGGGAATACACATTAAAGGAAAGCAAATGAGACTGTTTGGGAATGGGCAGGCTGATTATCACTCTGTCCCCACCATGAGTACTCTGTTTCACCAGCAGTAGAAGTCTGGAAAAGATTAAAAATTGCTGTTCCAGTATATTTCACCATCTAAATAGAAAATGAATGAGGTGGTGAATTTTGAGTTCCCCCACTGTTTTAGCTCTTCTGAGACAAATGGTAGTGTAAGTCTAAGACTATCAAAGATACCAGTTTGTATGCCACAGTAATTAGTAAACTTTACTTATTTTCTTTTCAAAATCAGTAGGGTGTGTCTCATTGGTGATTTAGGCTGAGCACAATAAGACTGCCAACTTGTCCTCTTTTCCTCCAGCACAGGAGGAAAGACCCAGGCTTAGGCTCATCAGCTGGCAGCTGCAAAAATCACAGTGATTACTCCAAGCACAATAATCACACAAGGACCCTTTAGAATTAACACTAGCTAAACCAAATGCCAAGTGCTTCTGACTTCCAGGGCAGCTTTGAGTGAATGAACAGCAAGGACAAGAAACAAACATTTACTAAATAATCATGCATTTTAACTAAGGTTGAAGAAGTAAATAAATATATGGCAAATCATGATTCAATCTTGTGTATCATAGCAGGAGAAAAAAGTCTCGAAGAGATCTCTTTTAAAACATTATCATATAGAAATGCCTAATACAGCAGATGGGAGAGGTTCTTAGATGGACAGTTACAGTAACTGGTGCATCAAGTGTGTCTGTTAACACATCTATTTCACACTCTGTCAATTTGATTTCAGTGACTTCATTACTAACTTTCATATTAGTATTTCCTTCATTCCCAAATTTGTGCCTCAGTGAGAAACATCCCACTGGATTAGTAGGTAGCAGCATACTGAGTTGCAAGGATGTGAATCTGTTGTTCCCTTGTTTATGGACTTTAATCTTATGTTGCAGAGTTAGTTTTGATGAAGGTAAAATATAATTATTATCCTGTGTATAGCTAGCTTCAAGAAGAAATACTAGTATGAGTAGAACTCTCCTATAATGAGAAGTAATTTACAATGTTTTTCACAAGCCTATTCAATCAAACCTCTTCTGAGGACTGGTTTTTCTGAAGTTTATATTCACCTGAATGGCATACTGTATATGGATCAAATTCAGGAAGGTAAATACATATAACCAGAGTTCACCATTTTCCAGAAAAATCAAAACCTAGGCTAAAAGTGTGCACGATAGAACACAATTTTAGACTTCATTAGGATGCATGATATTAAATATCGTTGTTTACATCTTACTGTATAACTTAATTGTAGTTGAGTATTGTGGTTAACATTACAATAATAAAAGCATTAATGCCAAAAGCAAATCAAGTTTGCAAGGGCAAAACAACATGCAATATATACTTATACATATACACCTCATATGTATGCCTTTCATTTCATGTGTCTGCATGTTCTACGTTGCCAAAATGCTGTAAATATAAATAAGTGTAAACACAAAATGAACCAATTTGTCAATATATCAAATATGTTATATAACCATAGTTTCTCTCCATATCACAACACAGAGTCAAGCGACAAATGCAGTTAAATTTTTTGTCAGCAGTGTCCTTTTTGCCTTTTATTAGCCCGCATCTCTTCAGCTACATGTCCTTTCCTGAGCAAACTAGAAAAATGATGTGCGTGGCCTCCTAACACTTAAGGTTGTTTAAAAAAAAACAAAACAACTTATCACCAAAACAAAGTACAGCTCTGTTACAGCTACAGTTAGGCCTTCAATTACAGTATATTTTTATGATTATGATTATATTATACTTTAAAACAAGATTAAGTTCAAGCATTTCACTCGTAAGTCATCTCCAGAAAACCAAGGGATCACATTTGACTATTCAGCTGTTTTTTTGGGATGAAGGCTGAAAACATCAGTACAATCACAATGCATCACCTTGAGGAGTACAGTGAAAAACTGTGTTAAGGGGCTTAGCATGTTGAAGTTATGCTTTTTGTCCAAATATACCTGCTAACTGAATGATGCCATGTCTTGCAACATCATAGTAGGGATGATTGATATCTAGCTGAGGATCCTCATGTGGTGGAGGCGTAAATGTTTTATCTTGTCCTGACTGTGTATCTTCTGCTTCATCTTTCTGCAGTTCTAAAGAAGCAAGAAAGAATGCTTAAGTGCTAATGAACAAAGAAAAACTTTTGCTTCTGATTAATTACTGAAGGCTTAAATTTTAGCTCAGACAAAAACACCAGTTGATATATTTTCAAAACAGTTTCTTCCTCCTACCCCATTTTTCTGTGTGGGAAAAAACAACCCTTTAATAACTCAAAACAACCTTCACATCTTCCTTAAAAATAGTATCTGCTGTGGTAGTCATAAAAATCTTGACAACTGCCGGACAGCTGGCATGCTGTGACCTTGCTATTCACAACTGCTAGTGTTGCCTTGTCATTTCTTACACTCTCACAATCTGCTTCCTTTATCCATCTACATCTCCTCTTTTACTTCACGGGTGTCCAAATGGGGAAGTCAAAGTTTCAGTATGCTAATGTGCATTGACAGCTGTTCCATAACACTCTCTGAATGCAGACCTGCATGAGGATACCTTGCACAGAGGTACTGAAGTACCAATAAACCTCCATCTTAGTTCCATCAAAATCTATAATTTCCTTGAAGGCAATGTGAATTCAATGTTCAAAACTTGCAGTAGGTGAGGCAGTCAAATCTCCATCCATTACATACACCAGCTAGAGGCCAAAGTAAGATATAAACAGCAGCTCAAAAACCCAATGAAATCCATAGACATCTTTTCACTTCTGAACTAAATTCTCAAGTTAAATCTATTCCACACTAAAATTAGTAGCTCATTGTTATTCAGCCTTGATTCAGAACTTGGTTTGGTTTGTTTTCCCAAAGCTTTTTCAAATCACTGCTCAGTACAAAAAAGGAAAGAACCAAAGTACCAATCTAAACAAACAGATTCTGGAACAATTGCTGCCCTTAGTGTTGCTGAACTACAAAAGTGGTTTTTTTCTAGAAATTGACTGGAATAAAATTATACTGACAGACTGGCACACAAATGTCTCGATGGCTTAGGAGAGGAAAACATACATGTAAAGAGGAAAACTAACGTTCTGATAGGGTGCAGCACCCCCTGTACATCATCTACCTCTTTTATTATAAAACTTCTAACACTAGGGAATCAAAAAGTTTATCTGTAACACTATTGGTGCCAGTCAAAATTAAGTCCTTCAAGAACTCTTGCATTCTGGTCATCTATATATTTAACATGCCTCGACCAGCACCCAAGATATAGTAGAGCAGAGAGAATATATCAGCTATCTATTTCAACCAGATTTAGTACCAGTAGCTAGGATGAGTAAGAGAAAAAATCTCACTAAATATTTTTGCAATGTTTTTAACTCACGGTTTCCCAGTAGCTTTCCATTCTATAAACAGCTCCACGAAACTTTCATAGTTTCATTTCTATTTCGATTTATACAAATAAATTTGTATATTATATATATATATATTTATATAATATATATAAATAGATATATTTATATGATTTGTACCAAAAATAACTTTCAAAATGAAGAAAAATGCCACTGATGGCTGGGCTTCTCAAGGAAAAGAATAGTCTGCAAAGTGCATTTTTTCTTAAATTTCTTTATGCTTCAATTTACAGTCAAGCTCCTCAGAAAACAAACCAGAAGTCCTATTACGCACTGGAAAAATAATCTGCATTTAATTAATACACCATTAGCCCTTCTCATATACATAAAAGTTAATCTTTAATTAATTAATTTATTTATTTATTAATCTATTATCACCAAAATGTGTGTTTTTCTACCTTTTAGAAGCATATCATATATAAAGAGCTACACTAACTTTAACTGGAGATGTATTCTTTCACCTTAGAGAAGGATTTTTATTTCCTCAAGAGGCAGGAACAATAACACAAATATAACTCCATACCCAAATTTCACATTTTTTAAAAATTATTTTTATATATTTAAAGTCATGCTACAGATCCGAGAAAAAGAGAAGTGCTGTTTTGTTTAGAAAATTTTCATGTCTGAGCATTTATCCACATAAAGTAACAAATAGCAAAAACAGAGAGAGAAGAAAATAGAAAATGTGACTACCTGGGGTTAAAAAGCAAGAAACAAGAACTATTCATTAGAATACATTGAAACTTCACAAGTTTTAATAAAACTGAAATGTACATTTTTATTAAACAGCAGAAACAACAGGTATGCTATCTACAGTTTTTTGTGCAGAGAGCTTGGGGGCAATCCCTTCTGTAAAAATTCACTTTCTACTATGCATAGTAATAGACGTGCTTCCGAAAAGCTACCTGGCTTTGACATGCACCAAATAGCTAGGGAAGCAAACACATGTGCCCATTTCTACTGCAGTTATTCACAGGGACCAGAGTGGACCCAGCAGCAGTCACAAACTACTGAAAAGCTAGTTAACACTAACCTAGTAAAATAATTCTTTATTCTTTTTCTTTTCCTCCTTTCCACATGGGTGAACAAGAGGACAGGAGCTCAAGAGACATTTCCTAATGTACACAAATAAAAAAGAAGAGTCAGTGCTCCAGACTGAGGGAGATCTGAGCTCTATTTTTCTCACTCAGTGCTAGGAGTTTATTGCCCTGCTTCATGAGCCGTAGCAAAGGATCATCTGTTACCATGCACATTGCTGCTGTTGTTCAGCCCTGGCTGGAAGAGACGAGAAAGGACCTGACCGAGAGCTTGCCAAAACTGACTGGAAAATTGCTTGTTGATGAAAGCTGTGGTGGAGACATCAGGGCTAAGTAGAGGATCAGGAGACAGAGGTGGAGCTTAAAAAAAAATTAAAAAAAAAAGAAAAAAAAAATCTTGCTTTGGGATTTAGCCTGGAATCCTCCAACACTCAGGGAAAAAAAAGCCCCACATAACACTGATCTTTCAAAATGATGAGCCTTCTAATGCCACGGCCATATTGCTCATTGCAACTAACATCTTTGGAAATAACATGCAATACAGCAATCTCTATACTCATTCAATACTTGTCTTTTTGGAGTAATGACTCCCATTTGTGCCACAATATGTGAAGATGGTGATATTCCAATAGCTTAGAATTGCACTGGGAACATCTACCAATAATTCATAAAAGCTGCATGTATTAAACTAACCTTCAACTCTAATGGCTTTAATAGGGTACACATGAGTACATTGGCTGTAACTCATACTGGATTGCTTCAAGAAGCATTACAAAACGCTGGTGAAGCCTCTCCCTTACTCAAGATGCTCTATTAAATCACCTGTGACTCTACACAGAAGCCATTTAAAGTATAATAAAAAATATTTACCTATTTCGGCTAACTTCTCATAGTCAATCTCAGACATGATTCCCCTTAGGAAGAAGCCTGTGCAGATCTCCCTTAGCTGATTCTTGTGGGATGAAACCGTCCTCAGGTCAAGCCTACAAAAATAAAGAAAAGAAGCTGTCACCACAGTGTGGCGCATTTTACACACTCCACAGATATAAAAAGAAAAGAAAAAAATAAAAATGACACAAATCCTGCTGCCCAGTTGTTGTTGAGGAATAAAGTTGATTGCGTTTGCGAGCCTTTTTTTTTTTTAGAACACAGAGCATTAGGAAAGTATTTTAAAACAGCAGCTCAAACCACACAGCTACATATAATAAGATTTTCAGCCAACTGGGGAGTGGGGGGTCATTCTACAAAATACATTAACACATTTTCATGACTAACAACAGATTTTAGGGTTTCCTCACTTCTAGGAACAACATGAATCCTTCCATCTTCTTAATTTTATCTCACTGACGAAAAAGATGTATACTCCATTCTCTCACACCCAGTCACTTCTATTGCAGTCATATGGTTTATTACAGGATTGTGCTGTTTACCTCACATTGCACACGCAACAGCTTCATGAAAATTGCAAGTGAGCATTAACATACATAAAACTGAAAGAAAAAAAAATAAAGCCAGCACTTCCTGTACCTAATCACTGCTCTTCATCAAATACTTAAGAGGAGCATTTTGTAAACAGAATACTAAGTAATCCAAAGAGTGCATCAGGATCTAAGAGTACAATTTCGAAGATCTGTTTTCCCAAGCAGCTGCTCAAAGCAGACTCAGATATGAGGTATGAGAGAAATGGAGCTTTTCAAACTCATCAAATTTAATTTCAAAAACCTGTTTAATATTAGTTTGATTCCATCCAAGCACTTAAAAGGAACATAGGTGAATTTATGGCTTGGTTGTTGAGAAAATGCATGCACAAATACATTCTTCTCTGCCAAGTGGTTATGTATTGCATCACTGCTTCAATGAACTGAAACTGGGAAATCACCCTAGGCCAAAAACAGAAAAAAAATATAAGGTCAGTCTGCCTGCCTGCACACTCAATCCTCAGCTTAAGGATGTTTGTTCCAGAGCCAACAGTCTGAAAGCTAGATGCCAACCATTTTCTTCTAACCAGTGAAAGGATACAAAAGTAGTTTTCAAGAAATAAAACAGATGATCACATCAACAAAGCAAGCAATCATCTGCTTAACTATAGGGCTGTTTTTATCTATTTTGCTGAGCAGGGATCAGTCTTTAAAGTGACAACAGTACATAAACTAGATAGAATCTGGCTTTCACTACATACTGCAAAGTCTATCCTTTGATTTTAGGTTTGTAAAGAGGAAAAGGATTTGCATCCTGTATATGACTGCAACTTGCAATTACTACAGTAAAACAAATGCCTGTTAGCAATCACAACCTTTATGAGAGCTTATGATATTTAGAGAAGCTTTTCTATAAATTTTCAATGCATTCCACAGATCTAGTGTAATTACACTAATGCAATAGTAATAGGCAACCATGCATTTCCCTTTTTTCACTGTAGATAAAATATGAATATGGTTCTATCACTTCAAAATTTTAAAACACCAGGCAACTATTTTATAATACAGTTATTATTATTTCTTGTTGAAAATAATTATCCTCATTTACAGGAAATGCTCAAATTAAAAGCACATACACAAGAAAACCCCCCATTAAGTTCAAGAGAATTTTTCTCATTTTCTCACTGAAAAAAGAATTTTCTTGAAAAAATGCAAGCAATTCTGGGCCAGATATCTTTTATTTCATGTTAATTTTACCACATGACGTTCAAAATGACAATTCTGTTGTTAATTTTAAATTGTGTTGCAACTAAATACTTCGCAATTAATGTTCCAGTGATTAATTTGTTTATTGCTTATTGGAGTTGTATTTGGACACTTCTAAAACTAACAATTAGTAACTAGTGTGATACAGTGTGGGTTTTTTTTAGCAAATAATTTGTGACAGGTATTTCAGATAATTTAGTAATCAATGCAGTTTGCTTGTGAGTAACTGGTGTGCCATGAGGGCTGCTCCAAAAGTAATGCCTCCTATTTTATTATGTTGGCCCATGACACCAAAAGCAGATGTTGGTGGTATGGCAGTAGAAGTTGAACCTTCCCAACAAAATTCTACTACATTTTGTTGCCGTGTGACAGATGGCAGCAGAGGAGCAGTCTGACAATGTGGTGTCTGACAAGGAAGTGAATATGAAGCAAAGGTGTGGCATTTAATTTTTCTACATGGAAAAAAATGCACCTATTGACACTCATCAACACTTTCTGAGTGTTTATTGAGACCAAACAGTGCATGTGAGCTGAAGCAGTGAGTGGTGCATTGCAGCGGTGATGACAGTGACACTGGATCATCTGCTGGTGCAGACTTTTACAAGCACAGCACGCAGGCTCTTCTCCACTGCAGGCAAAAATGCATAGCTAATGGTGGTGACTATGTTGAAAAACAGTGTTTTGAAGCTGAGAATGCGCTCTATCAAACAGCACTGTCATGGTTTTTGTACCTGCTGTATTTTCCATGGAAATAAGTAGGAGGCATTACTTCCAGAGTGATCTATGTATCTGATCATGTTTACCTGTGCTGGCAATGATGCATAAGCATATTATCTGACTAAACCAAAATTTGTTTTTGCAGCAAAATACAGTTGCAAAATATGGTCAGGAAAGTTGAACTTTTCCTTGCCCATTTTTTTCCCTATGTTTCAAAGGGATGCATAGTATCAACACAGAGAAGTTTTCAGGAAGCTCCGAATCAAAACTACATTCCACTTGCTATTCCACTCATCTTTATCCTCGAACTCCAGCCAGCCTTCTAGCACTCCGCTGAAGCTGGAACTTGACTACAAGAAGATCTTTGTAACAACACAAAGGTTGTTATGTTTTTCCATTCCTTCTTCACAGACTGCCACTCACACCCAGACAAACTTTCAAAACAAAGAACCGTGAATACATTTTAACCTTTGCAGTCCCTTAATCACAACCAGATACATCCCAAAGTCTTTACAACACAATGGATCTCTGCATTACTTCGGTAGTATCTATGCCAGGCCTTTTCATTCTGTGTAATATTCCACAAATCATAAATAAAGCAGTAAATGATAAAAACTAGGCTGTAAGACTGGCACAAGGATGCTTTCAGATGCCATAAGTACCAAAACTCTCAATGAAGGAAAGAAAAAAAAAGAAAAAATATATATATATATATATATATAATGTTTCTGCTGTTTCTGCTGTGTAGCATGGAATAAAACTTATTTTTTGCTTCATAACAATTACTAATGCTTCAGCTAAGAGTAGAGGCTTTGTCTCCCAGAACCTTCAGAATAATTTCTGGCTTTTGAGCAGCAAAGTTACTGTACAAGTGAGAGCAACCACGATAGCATTAAGCATTTGCAAACATTTAATGCATAAAGTTACTAGGAAGCTAGAGGTAAATCAAAGGAGGAAGGAGGAGAAACCATCTGCTTGGTTTTCAGCTTACTGTTCCCTTGGGGCAGCAATTAGAAAGTTTTCAGTTACAGGACAAATTTACTGCAGCACCCTCGGAAATTGATTTCCCGTTGACCACAGCATTCTCTGTTCTGGGGAGATAACATAATCTCCTTAACAGTGCTTCTCACAACGTCTCCCCGTTCCTAGCAGGCTGTCAGATTTAGTGCCTCCCCTCATCTCACCCCACCAGAAAGGCAATAAAAAAGCCCCCAAAAGAACCAAACTACAAGTCATTTATTAATAATAGAAATTTGGAAGTATTTTACAAAATACTGGATCCTACATCCCTCCACAGGCAAGTTTTTTACTTACTGACAACCCTAAAAGAACATTACTCTATCCAAAATGAAGGCAGCCACAAGGAGAACTGCTTGGCAATGAACTTGCTTCTACAGAGAGCCCACACAAAGGTGAGGAATCCCTCACAACACTTGTCAGTGCAGAGATGCCTTTCATGCTTATACTTTTTGTTCATTCAGCTCTAAAAAATGTTCTTTAAATTTAACTACTGGAATTTTTCTTCATATTTTTCCTGATTTTCCTCCCTTCCATGGACATTCTTTATTTTAAAAGGTGTGACAGCACACCATGTAACATCAGGATGCAATTTACATTTTGATGAGACAAGGCATCTGCATATGCTAGTATTTGCTGAGGGATAGAGCCTACAAAATGAAGTGAAGTAGTGTCAGAGGGTTATTTTATTATTTATAATGCTGCAGCAACTTCGCTATGGAATTTATAAACACAAAACCACAGGAATTGAGTGCATAACGTACTTGCGGAAAGCATATTCAAAACATTTTGCTTTCCTTCTTATATGTTATCTGAACTACATAATATTTTCCCTCAGTGTGCTCCTTGCACAGTGTCTACCAAACTCAAAGTCTGTATTTTTAATTAGCAATTAGTTTCATGTATTTTGCATTTTAATTTCATATTCTTTATCTATCTATCATTTTTCACTGGCAATACATTGGAGAAAGTTAGCTAGGAAGCAAACATCAGGAGAACTAACAGCTAGAGCACAAGATGGTATATTTTTGCACAACTTTCATTTTAATCACAGAATGACTGAAGTTGGAAGCGACATGTGGAGGCCATCTAGTCTAATCCCTGCTCAAGCAGAGTCACCCCGAGCTAGTGCCCAGGCCCATGTCCAGGCAGATATTGAAGACACTGCAAAAGGAGAACCCACAACTTCTCTGAGCAACCTGTACCTGCTCCCCATCTCCTCTGTAGCACAGAAATGCTTCCTGCTATACATATGGAACATCCTTTTCTTCATTACTTGTTCACTGCTTCTTGTCATCACACCAGGCACTCCTGAAGAGCTTGGCTGCACCCTCCGCACTCACTTTTCAGATATTTGTATACATTGATGGTGTTCCCCCTGGACCTTCTGTACTCCAGCCTGAATAGGCCCAGCTCTCTCAGCTTCTCCTCACAGGACAGGTGCTCCAATCAGTTTAATAATTGACTTGGGCCTAGTTCAGATAATGTCAAAACCCTGCCTTGCTATTCAGAGGCTATCACATCTAAATATTTTTTAAAAATTAAAAAAAAAAAAAAAAAAATCA